TAAGAGAGTCACATTAAAATGATTCACCTGCTCTCAACTTGCCTTTTGTCGCATTACAGATTGAGTCCCCCCAGTTAGCGCCAATAGACAACGTGTGGTGGCTAAGCAGGCAGTGGCAGCACCAAGCCACCTGGGTTTGAATTCTAGCTCTGCCACACTAGCTCTGCCTAAGCCATGCCTAACTGGCTTTTAGCAAGTTACTTAGGACTCTCTGTACCTCCATTTGCACATCTGTGAAAAGGGGGTCTTATATAAAACAATCTTTGTAGGGCTGTTGAGAAGACGAAATGAGATAATGCCAAAAGCATTTAGCATAGTGCCTGGCACACAGCTAGACCTCTACATTAACCACCCTCATTAAACAGGCATACCTGGGAGATATTGCAGGTTCGGTTCCAGACCACCGCAATAAACCAAGTACCACAATAAGGCAAGTCAATGAATTTTTTGGTGTCTCAGTGCATATAAAAGTTACGTTTACACTCTTCTGTAGTCTATTAAGTACATAACAGCTTTGTGTCTAAAGAAGTAATGCACATGTATTAAAAATTATTGCTAAAAATGCAGGTCAACATTTGAACCTTCACTGAGTCATAATCATCAATCACAGACAACCATAACAAATATAATAATGAAAAAGTTTGAAACATTTCAGGAATTACCAAAATGTGACAGAGACACCAAGTGAGCAAATGCTATTGGAAAAATGGCACCATTAGACTTTCTCAACGCAGGGTTGCCATAAACCTTCAACCTGTAAAAATAAACCTGCGAAGCACAAAAAGCGAAGTGCAGTAAAATGAGGTGTGCTGGTATCCAGCACCTAGAGTTTCTGGCACGTAACTGGTATTAAATAAAGAATTAATGTGCAAGCATCCATGCTTTGCCTAACTTTAAGATTCCATTCCAAAAAAAAAAAAAAGTTTACTTTTAAAGACAACTTTGCAATGAAAAACTACCATCACCAAAATGAGAAGCATTCTACACCAAAGTTATGCCTTAGCCATAAGGTCCCTATATCCCTGATTCTTACCTAAGTTCTGAAAGGGAAAATAAAAGTTGCGATGCAAGAAGGCTAGATCACTTCATTATCACAACCCATTTAAAGGAGCAGTTTAAATACATCTAATTTCTTAAATAGCCAAAAATAAAAGGAAAATAATTGCATATCACATTTGCAATTATTTTAATTGTAGCTTTGGCTTGATGCCCAGCTCCTGAGCCAGCCCCAGCTCTGTGAAAGCATCCATCCTGTATCCCCAGAGCCCAGGGTATTAGCACCCAGTACACAATCGGTACTCAGTAACTACTTTTTGAGTGAATAAATGTGCTTCATAAAATACATAATCCCACCATGGTTCTTGTTCTGGCAACTAGCAGAAGAGGATCTCCTTTATCTGTGTTTTAAACAAACAAGCTGCCTTTTCTGTTTGTTCTACTGGATAACAGAAAGGGCCTCTACAGAGCAAAATGGTCTTTACATCCCTCAATAACCATGGTCCCTGATCATTCCGATACTGGAAATACACGTAAAGCGATCCCCTCTCAGTGCGATACAGAAAATCCAAAGAACTGTCCCCATTCCTTCCCAATTAAAAATCAGTTTTCAGTTACTTTTTCCGTTTGCCAGTTTATCTTTGAAATTGTCCTCTCTGTACACAGAAGCTTACAGATATACAGGCAGATACAGAGCAGGATGACCCTTCGAAGTCACCTGATGCAATACCTCCATTTTCCAGATGCGTCCAAAGAAAAGCACAGAGAGGAAGCCACGCTGTCAACATCGTTCATAAGCCTCTTGAGATGTCTTTAAAGACAGAAGCAACAAAACTGAATTGCAGTGATATTCAGGAAACAGGGAGAAGGTGCAGCACTTTGCTGCACCCGTACCACACAGGGGCCCAGACAGATGCCCCAGTTTTCCAAAGCAAGAAGTAGTTCTAAATTCGTTCCTTCATTCAACATTTGTATTTGAAGGTCTGTGTGCTAGACACTATTCTGGGTTTCCAGGACACATCAATGAACAAAAGAAAAATTACTGCCCATATGCATCTACATTTTAGGCCAAACTTAAGAGGTGTCAAGGAGAATAAAGAGAACATCAGTTCATCTTAATAGAATGCATAGGGCCAGACGCAGCACCAGAGGGATCGGAAGCCCAGGGGTTCTCAAACTTGGGTGTGCTTTAGAACCACCCAGGGGACTTGCTGAAACTCAGACTGCCAGGCCCCATCCCCAGAACTTCTGATTCATTAAAAGCTCAACTGGGCCTGAGAATTTGCATTTCGAATGCGCTCCAGACAATGTTAATGCTCCTGGTCCAGGAGCTACAGTTTTGAGAACCACAGACCCTGCTAAAACAGATCAAGTAGCTTGGCCACAGACACAGGGTACTCAATAACAAGGCCAGATTTGGAGTTTTATTCCTTCTGACTCCAAACTGGTCAAGCTTTCTCTCTACAAGGACACAGCTCTCACCTACTAATTTCGGGCAAACATCGCCCAAAGAAAAAGAGGTTTATACAAATCCTACCATTTGCAACAACATGGATGGAGCTGGAGGATATTATGCTTAGTGAAATAAGCCAGGCGGAGAAAGACAAGTACCAAATGATTTCACTCATCTGTGGAGTATAACAATGAAGCAAAACTGAAGGAACAAAACAGCAGCAGACACAGACTCCAAGAAGGGACTAGCGGTTACCAAAGGGGAGGGTTGGGGAGGGCAGGTGGGGAGGGAGGGAGAAGGGGATTCAGGGGTATTATGATTGGCACACATGGTGTGCGGGGATCATGCGGAAGACAGTGTAGCACAGAGAAGGCAAGTAGTGACTCTGTGGCATCTTACTACACTGATGAGCAGTGACTGCAATGGGATCGTGGGGGATATGATAATATGGGTGAATGTAGTAACCACACTGTTTTTTCATGTGAAACCTTCATAAGAGTGTATATCAATAATACCTTAATAAAAAAGAAAGAAAGAAAATGAGGTTTTAAGCTTTGTATCTTAGTTGGGGAAATCAAAAATGAACGTTTTAAGTAAAAAAAAGTCTCAAGCAGATAGCACTGATCACTAAACACTAACATAAAAATTAACATTAAAGTTAAAGAGTTTGTTCTTTCTTTCACATGTCCAAATGCCAGGATGAAATGTTTTCCCTGAAAGGTTTTACCATGAGGCTCAGGTTTGTCTCAAATGAACATACTGTTTTTAAGTCTATTAATTAGAAGCATATACACTAAAATATATAGTAATTGGATTGGTAATAATATTAGTTTTTTGTGCTTACTGTGATTTCTAAATTTTTATAAACAAATGTCTTGTGTAATAAGAAAGATACTGAAAGTTACAGTGCTTATAGTAAAAGACTTTTAGTTAGAAAACTCTGTAAAAGTCATTAATTAATATGCTGCATAAATTAATACTGAATGATTTTTTTTTCCTAGCACATAAATAATTCAAATATCTTATTTTAGCATTTTAGGCTAAACCTCTCTCTTGATTAATGATTAATACCAGTGAAGGAAAAAGACCCTTGAAATATATCTGATTTCATTTAAATAAAGAAAATAAGACAAAACTATGATCATTTAAATATCTGCAGAAAAATCATATTTACTTTAGTCTACAAAGCAATTGTTTTTTGTCTATCCTATTACTTTTCAGCAAATGAATGGAAGTGATTTTAATTCTTGCAGATTAAGAAAGTAAAAACGTTGTATGTCAATTACATCTCAATTTTTATTTAAAGTAAAAAATCGTTTAATTGTATTTCTTGAAAGAAAAATTAACTTGTAAGTTTTGGTAAAATGATGGTGCGTCTTCTCTGTGTATAAAGCCATACAGCCATATCCCTGAAAATCACATGACAAGACGCGCACGCCATTCCTGGTCCCCATCTACCATCTCTCAGGATCTTCCAATCTAGGGAATACTCTCCTTTATTATTGAAGTCCACAGTCCAGAGACAAAACTAGAATTTAAACTATGAAAGAGCAGCCACTAAAGGAGAATCAATTTAGTAAAGAAATCAACTGCGTTTATAAAGAAAGACACGTTTTACCATTCAATAAAAGTTCTGGCCACCTCTTGACGTCTAGACCGTTTATTAGAACAGTCACTATTAAAGAAAAAAATTAAGCATCTGTATGTGTTACGTATAATTTAGAGCTAATTATCTCAAAATTAGCCCCTAAAAACAGAACTCTATCTGTAATAATTCTACTGTTTCTTAACACTTACTTGGTACTCACAATGCACCAAATACTACAAACCTCTTTTAATCCCCAAAGCACTTTGTGAGGTAAATACTACTATTATAACCATTTTACAGATTAAGAAATTTAAGCACAGAGTGATTAAGTAATCTGCCCAAAATCACACTGCTAAATTGCAGATTCAGGATACAGGTATCCAGGCTACAATACTTAACTGTGATCCTTAACCTTTGTCTCTACCTATCTTTGCTACTTTGATTTACAAAGTTACCACCTTTTAGAAAATCGTAACTACGTTTTCTTGCCAGTAATATCTGATATATCAAACATGAAAAACAGTGAAATGATCCAGGCACTTTTACAAATCGTTATGCTTACAAAATCATACACAATTTAAAATAAGTCATACAGTACAGAGACCGGAACACCTCTCCACCAGCACAGCCACTTTTAGCTGCGTTGAAACGCACAGAGATTCAATGAAGAGCGGGTAAGGTTGGTTCTAATCCGGTTTTGTTTGGGGATTTTTTCGGGGGGTGGTTTTTTGCAACCAGAGAGCTGGAAGGTGAACAAAAAAGTTGGAAGATGAAAACTGAACGCTTTCCTTTTTCTTCCGCTTATGAAAATCCGGCCCGGGCGCCACGGCCGACGGGGTCACGCCAGGGTTTCTAGGTCTCCCCGGCGGCTTCTGCTGACCCGCCCGGGCGAGCGCCCCGGGGACTCGGGGCCGGGGGGGCGGGCGGGGGCGGCGGGCAGGGAGGGACGCCGCGGGGCCTTACCCAGCTCGGTGCCCGGGTTGCGCGCAGCCATGGCGCGGCCGGCTCCTGGGTGCGCGGCTCCCGGCCCGGCCTCGCTCCTTCCTGCCCCGCCCCCGCCCCCTCGGGGCGGAGCCGCAGCCCCGGCCGCGCCGCAGGACGCCGGGCCCCGCGCTCGGGAGGGAATCCGATGCCCTCCTTGCTCCGTCCTCCCCAACGCTGCGTCCCGGAAATAATGCTACCAAACCCCGTTCAAAAGTGCTTGAGTTGCCAAGTGCAGTGAATAAAATCATTCGGTACTTTTAATGGTAAGATTATGTAACAAGAGTGGAGAAGCTCCCTCCCAGTTACCGGCCAAGGGCAGAGCTGGACAGTCAGGGCAGCAGTGACCCCGTAGCCTTGTGAGGGCCGCCACCAAGCAAGCAGGGGCCCCAGAGCTCACTGCGACTTCTGGCCTTCATCAGAGGGGCGGCTCTGCGGCCTGGAAAACAGAAGGGACCAAGAGTAAGGAGTCCCGGTTTGTCAGTAGGTGTGACGCTGGGCACATAACTGCCTCTCTGGGCTTCGTTTTCCTCATCTGTAAAAATGACCTTGGCAATTTCTTGGCGCTCTAAACTCTGCATCTGTAATACTATGATTTTTTCAGCCTGACTTTCCTGTAACCAGGAGGTTAAAATTAGAGTCACCATCACAGGCAACTGGTCAACTCCTCTGTACTCAGGATTAGAGGCATTTCCACCCTGCTGAACGAACGAAAACCATCATGGCTTGTCCTCCATGAGCCAGTTACCATGCCAGGGGCTTTCAGATGTATGACAGCATTTGCATCTCGAAGCCATCCTGCCAAACATGTAATATACTCCATTGCTTATAGCACCAAAGTTCTGAATAGAGAACCCTCCTATAGTGGAAACTGAGTAGGCTCCCAGTAAGTTGAATCCCTTAATATTCCAGCCAGTTCCACTTAATTACTACCTGGTTCTAGGAATGTTACTGTCTGCAGAGGATCCAAATAAATTTGCCTTGCAAAGTTGTTTGTTGTGTGTGTGTAAAGTACCTAGGACACATCAGGCATACAGTAAGTGCTCAACAAATGGAAGCTGTTATTGCTGGGTCACAATTATGGAGCTAAATAGGAAAAGCTATCCCATTCTTGGTCTACTACATTAGCTGCCTCTCAGCCTTGCCTACACGTAACTATTGCTGAATATTTTGCATATGTCTGGGTTCTATTCATGTATATAAAATGGTTCCTCTATTTTTATTTTAACCCCGAGAAATAGAAAAGCAGGCCCTGAGAGTCTGGAGCTGGCCTGGCACTCACAGCTGAACCGTGCAGCTGTCTGGACATAATTTCACAGAACACCAGCACCAGTCAAGGCCGTGATAAATGATGAATGAATCACCAAAATGATTTAAGTGATTAAGTGTGACATGAAGAATGAACAAAAACAAGACCACTTCTAATGATGTTTGAATACAGAAACAGCATGAACATTGTCCACACCATAAAAATGGCCAAACAGCCCTCTATCCTTGCTAATATGAGTAGCTGTCACTTCTTTACCCATCCCTTTTAGCCTCTCCCCATTCTTGTGTTTTAAGAATTAAGATGCCCTGTCATAGAATTATCACAACTTCCTGCAGGCATCCAACCCAGAACAATGGCCCCACTTCCTTGAACCTTCCCCAAATCACATAAAACAAGCCCAAATCCTATGTCATTTCTAACACCTTCTTACTGAAACACCTCATAGTTAGTTCCCCATGGCAAGTGTTGTGTCCAATAAGTCCATAAACACAAATGTATCCAGCTACAAGCTGTGCTCCTGGTGGTCTTTTGCTGGAAAGCACAGACATCCTTAAAAAAAATGCAAAGACAATAAACAATTCCGTTTTTTGGGGTAAATACAGCTCTAAGCCAGATTCTAAGCCATTTGCTGTACATTCGTGTATAATGTAAATTTATTTTTCTTAAAAATCTCTGAGAGCCTTAACTTCGCTGAAAAACCATAGTAAAGACAGTCTTCCATAGCAAGACATTTTTGCAATAAATCTGACAAGAATTTCTCAAGGACTTTTTCTAAAATTGACCTGTTGCCTATTTCTAGTCCAGAATCAATCTCTGCAGTTCCAAAGTATGTTAAATTGGCAGTATTCAGAGGGTAGTAGGGATAGAACGCAAGAAATGAGTTTCTTTAATCAAGAAGTGTTGCTAAGTTTCACTTCGCGAATTTTCATTTTCAATGTATTGCCTTCTGAAATTTTTGAAGTATCTCTAAGGCAAAGGCCTCTCAAAGACCTTATATAGACCACCAACTATACACTGGAATCTCCCAAGTTTTTTTTTCTAAAGCAGATTCTAGGCTTCACCACATCCCTAAATCAGAATCTCTAGGACCCTAGAATTTGAATTTTTAACAGATTCCCTGAAATGATGTTTATGAAAGTTAAATGTAAAGAATCATCAACATAGAGGCAGAGGAGAGGAAACTGTGCATGTCAATCTGAAGCCATAGCCCAAAGTGGCTCTTACAAGAATAAAACCATCTTCTAAGAATCATCATTTTTTTAATCCGTGCAAATTTTGCCTGTCACTCATTTTTATGTATATATTAAATATAAAATTTAAATCGCCAGATAGATTACTTGTCTTCCCATCCCCACTTCTCCTTCAATTAGAATTAAAGCTCTAGAAATCTTACTTATCTTGACCTACCTGGCCTGGGATAGGAGTAACCCAAACTTAACTGTCAAAGGGCATGGACAATTTGTGTTTGGTTCATCAAATATCTAGGGCCTAGAGGAGTACTTGGCATGTACTAGGCTGTGTATATTTGTTAGCTGAATGATTGTAAATTCCTATCTGTCCCATTCTTTTAGTGCCCATTGTTTTATCCAGTCCAATTCCATTTGATGGTAGTATCTAATCCTACGATTTCTGAGATCATTCATAGGTTTGTTGACAAATATTGACAGACTATGGATTGTCAACCAGTTTTTCTAAGTCAAATGGGAAAGAGTGTAGAAGCAGGGAGCGCTAGACTAGAATGTGAATATTAGAGTCAAAATACTTCAGAACTGGAGGGCCACGTACATATCATCTAACTCCTACTTTATGGTGAAATAAGAAAAATAGGAATCATGTTGAGTCTCTTATGAGGCTAAATTTATTCAGTTTAAAGAACAGGACTTCACTCTGAGACTATGTCCTTCACTACCAACTTGGATTTTTAAAATCTTCCTTTTATGAAGATTGTGGTGGTAGATTTTTTCTTCTATTTTAACAGCCTCACTTGGAAAGATTAGCAGAATTCTGTCTTGCCCCTCTCCCTTTTTTTAAATGTATTGGTCCAAGGAAGTCCCAAAGTTAGGATATCACCAGTAGAATATATAATATTAGCTAATATTAAGTGCTCCCTATGAGTTGTCCTTTATAGCAACTATTCGATATTTGTTTAAAAATCTGTTAGATGTTACTTCCCAAAAAGAATCTGTGAGTACTGTCATCTCCCTTTACAGATAAAGAAACTAAAGCTTAAAGAGATTCTTCTGTAAGTGCTGAACTATGGTTTAAAACCCAGGCAATATAACCCTGCAGGCTACATATTCCCACTACCTCTTTGAAGCCAAACTCCTTCCGCAAGCCATTTAACCTCTCTAAAGTCAGGTTTCCGACATATAAAATGGGGATGATTGCCTACTTATTAGAGGGGTTATTGGAGACATTAAAAAGTAACTGTTTTAAAACCAGAAGAAAATCTAATATAAGGCACTTAACAAATATGATTTGCATACTCATCCTTAAACTAAAATCAGTTACTTTCTACTTCACCAAATTCCATTCTCATTAATTAAAGTAATTCAACCCATAAAGTATTATTACTGTTCATTATCTATCATTAAGATGCATCCTTTGGTCTTTTCTCTACCAGTAAATGTGTTAGCTGCCCCGTTTGTTCCTTCACGAACTCTTGATTTGAAAGGCACACTGGTCAAGGTGGCATTCTATCACACTGGCAGCTGTGCACTCCTATAGATGATCAGAAATGCTAAACCTCCTCAAAATATTCCTGTTCCAGTCATTTTTTTTTCCCCACAGGTATCCCCCCGTCCCCAGTGTAAGAGACCAACATGTATAGTAGCATATACGGTAACACAAAAGGAATCACTTTTCGTTTCAAAATATTAATCTTCCAGATGTAAAACGTAGGTCTCTACTAAATACTTTCCCCTAGTTTGCATTTTCAATTCCCCATTTTGTTGTTCCTTTCTGAAAAATTGCATCCATTTCCCCCTCCTCTGTCTCAAAGAGAAGTCAGCTGAACTAATAACTACACTGAGTTGAACTTCTAAAAATGTAACTTGTAAGTTATAAATTGTGGTGCAGCTATACTATACCATTTGGAACCATTAAAAATACTGTGCTGAACTTTCTTCACTGACAGGAAAAATTCTCAAGATAATTGACTGATCACACTTAATCCTGTTTCTTGGAACGAACCTCTGGGTGACACTGAAACTGAGAAGCAACGATTCTATGGTAAAAAAATTAAAAACAAGATAGGCATTTGGGCTACCATGACCTACTGCCCATTAAGACACAGAGAAGAGGCTCCACAGGGATAATGGAATGGGAAGCAGAGCGGACGGAGATGAGATGTGAGATATACAAACTGGACCCCTCTTAGGTAGTTGGGTCTCAAACTGGCTGAGGTTATACATGGGCAAGAGCTCTGAGTAGGTTCCTGCTGTGTCTGATTCTTCAAGCAAGAGGTTTGCTGCATGAAGGGGAACTGGAAAATAACCTTCCTGATCTGAAAAACTTGGGTACTAATATGGGACTTTATAAACAGCTTCTGAGCACTTATAACATACCAGTCACCTTTCTAGGCAAAGGTAGTATTGGTGAAGACAAAAAATATACAAGATAATTTCAGAGTGGCAAGAACTATGAATCAAACAGGGCAATGTAATAAGGGACAAGAGGACTTGAGACCTGAATCACACGAAAAAGGTCGGCCATGCAAATTTTTAGGTGAGAGCAGACCATGTACCAGAAATAGCAAGCCAAGCCAAGTGAGAAGAAGGGCTT